GGGCTCCAGGTGTCGGCTGCGTGGCTGGTGCCTAAACCCTGAAGGCCCAGATAAGATGCTCAAATCCTCAAGTGGCTTGGCAGGTAACCTGGTGTAGACAAAAGCAGGAAGTGGTTGTAGTCCACCAGGTATTTGGGGTCTTGCAGTCACACCTTGAGTATAAGCACTGTATATTTCCCCCTTGAACTTTTTTAAGCCCCTCTGTTCTATGATCTCTTGATTTTGGAGAGAAATCAAGGCAGTTAGTGACTTTCTTGAACAAAACTGCTTTCCCTATGTGCCAATCCGGGAGCAAATAGTAACATCTGGCCCTATGACTGACTTTTCACTTGTACCCAAAGCAAGGAAGCAGCATGCAAAGGCCACTGGGGGCTGGTGTGGTGGTCAGGTGAGTTGCCCCTTGAGTTGTAGGAGTGGCTCATGAGCAGGAGGCCCCAGGCATAGGAAGGGAGCGGGAAAGGCAGAGAGCAAAGTGAGGATGGAGGGAGGTGTAGCTCAGCCCTCTAAGGGCTTGGCTGAGATGTTATGGTCTCTATTCCCGTCTGACACTTTCTGTCTGATAATAGCCTACTTCCCTGACAGTTCTGAGTTCTCGCTTGTCTTGGTCACCTAACTCCAAAGGGCTGTGAGCTAGGGTTTGGGGGGTGTGATTTTGGGTAGCAAGCGGCTATGTCCCAGTGGGTTCTGATTGCACTTGGAGTGGGATCTGGGGTCCTGGGTGGGGGAGGATGGCCAAGAACTTTGCCATCGATATCAGCATCGTTGTCATCCTACATCACCTGTCTGGCCTCCTGGCTCAGAGGTGCCAGGTGCAAGTTGGAGGTGCCGGGTGGAAGGAGGAGGATGTGAGGTAGATTGGTGGATGTGTAGGAGGGCGTTGGGAGCAGTATCATTGCTCCTGGAGGCTGGCTTCTGAAGAGGAGGATGGGAGAGTGAGCTGTGGGATTTGGTAATGAAATGGTGTAGTGTCCGTGGTACCTGAATGAAACACGTTGTGAAAAATGAATGGATTACTATTTAAGCCCCTTGTACAAAAATATATCCATCATGAAGCTGTTTCACATCTCAGTTCTGAAATCTCCTTTAGTTCACAGGTTATTTGGTCAGCAGAAAAGAAGTGGGGGCCACACAAAGCCAACTCCAGGCTGCTTTCCTCAGTGAAGACTCAGCAGTTACAATTCCCTGGGGCAGCAGGCGGTTCTTGGCTTTATTTGGGCTGGAGTGCTGTCCTCCAGGGCACTCACCTGGATCTGGGAGGCTGAGATGGGGGCGGGGGCGGGATTGCAGGGACTGAGCTTCTGTCTCCCGTGATGCTATCTCTAGGTCACAGAATATGAAGCTTGGTATGAGTGTGGCCCCAGCCTAGACTTTACAGGGCTCTTCCAGCTACTTCTGGGGGCTTGGGGAAAGTAGCAGGACCCTCAAATGACTTGGAGCCTTAAAAAAGGGGCCTGGGCCAGCCCCAGGCAGGGCTCGCAGGCTCAGTGTTACTGGGGCTGCGATGATGGCATCTGCCTCACTCTGTGTGTGGTTCACAACCAAGCTTACTTGCACAGAAAGTCCATGCAGGTGTCTAGAAGCAGACAAATCTCTCTTTCCACCATCAATCCGTGGGTGGCTGCGTGGGCTTTTGGACCGAGAACCTCCATGTGGGGTGTTGCTCACTTGGGCAGAAGGAGAATGAGGGCCTCCAGTTCAAATCTTTAATGTCACCGTAGGTGTCGATTACTTCTGTTAGTCTGAAAAAAAATCTACTTTGAATTTTTGTGAAATGAATTTTATTTCAAAATCCAGTAATTTTGAAATAGCTCATCACGTAAGTGGCTTTGGGGGTGATTCTTTTGGTAAAACGAATACTCCTTTAATGTGAAATATTAGTAGATAGCCGATAATTTGTGTTCATCAGAAGGATCGCTGGCTGTTGTGATGACTTCGTACCCCAGTGGCTTTCAAACTGTGTTCCACGAGCCTCTGCTGGGGCTAATGTGTGGGAGAAAGGGGCAGGTGGAGTCCTAGCCAGCCCTTCAGTCGGTTGCACTGCTGAAAAAACATTGACTTTCCTTTGTGAATTTGCAAATTTCACAGTTTTCAGGGCTGTGATTCCCCTCTCCTATTTAATTGTGTCTGAAATGCTGGCAGCAAGACCTGAACTGGCCATCTCCAGCTTTGCAACTTCACAGGTACGACGAGAGGCAGAGAAGCTTTCCAGACACACTTAGAAGTGGAAGGAATTGTGGAAAAGGAACAGGTGCCGCTGAAGTCACTCCCAGTTGAAAAGGCCAGTTGGGACTGGATTGGTCTTTTACTCAGCAGTCCTGCAGTCCAGAGGGGCCAGTGTTCTGGCCTGGCAGTTGGTGGACTCTTCTTCATATAGGCTCAGAGACTTTCTTTTTCTTCCAGGGGCTGCCACAATTCAGAAGATCTTTTCCAAAGGAAGAAGCTCACGAAAGTTGGAGAATTTCAGGGATAGAAGTGGGACTTTGGAAGAAAATGTGTCAAGACATTGAGGCAGGAATAAAAAAAAAGGTGAGATGTGTTTTCCATCCATCCCAGTTATTGTGAAACTAAATATTAGGCTTTTGAGGTCAGTTTCTTCAACCTATATCTACATATTGTATCTTAAAAAAAAATCTATGAATGTATTTGTCTAGGCACACCCTGGGAGTTGTTGGGGACAAGAGTTTGGTGGACTGAGATGCATGAAACACACTAGAGGATTGGCCAATGTCGGGAACTCTGTGGCGGGCAGGTGGGTTGGGCAGTTAGGTGGGAGTGAGAAGTTCTGTTGCCAGTGAGGCAAGGTCTGTGTCTTCCTTTCTCTGAAAGGGGCCATTCCTCAGCAGCCCAAGAAACTCATGGCCAGGTTGGCAGGTAAAGACATCTAACCTAATGTGTCTGTGATGGGACCACCTCTTCCAACTTCAGGTGGCTTGAAAAATGACCCTTCAAGCCAGAAGGCATTCAAGTGCGATTTGGCCACTGATGTGCACGAGAAGGAAAGGGGTGTTTTGAGAGCCCAAGGGGGCCTCTTCCTTGCTGAGATTCTCTGATATGGGCTCTCTTCACGGGGCTGTTGGGTTGTACTTCTTTGATGCCCAGTGGAGAGCCTACCACAGCCTGAGACATTTGGGAATAATGCAGCAGTGCCAGCCCGTATCCTTGTGTATTACTGGGGAGAGAGGGACCTAAGTGTAAGAAACACTTACTGAAATGTGCTGTCTGTGCTATGATGATGCAGGGACTGGGGTGGCCAGAGCTGAGTGCGAGGGCCACAGGGAGAAGAGAAATGGGGTTTTAAAAGGGATAGACTAAGGAACCCGCCTGAACCCCACTTGTATCCTTCGGGTTTCTGCGTTGAGCCTGGAGGCCACTGTTCTGCAGGCCGCACACACCTTTCCAGGCAAGCCTGGTCTGCCCTGAATCTGGGGTACTGGGCTGGCTAATAAATGTCCCCCTTCAGTAGTGAAAAGCAGGCACGCAGGTTTTGTCTTGGTCTCTTGGGGTCCCAACCCAGAACGGAGCCTTTACCAATGTGGTGGCCTGATCTGCACTTGGGGGTGTCCCTGGTGCAGAGGAGCACGATCGCTTGGTGGCCATTGTCTTCTTTCTGGATGTGGGGTGGTGACTCTCAGAGCCATGGCCTAAGGCAGGGAGGAATACAGCTGGACCTCGGAGAGCATCTTTCTGCTTACTAGCATTTGAGATTATAAAAAATTATTTTTTAATCAAAAATTCCAAAATAAAGTGAGTGATTTCCCCATCCCCCAAGATGCAATAAGTCTTGTTGGCTCTCCCTCAGGCTTACAAGAAGTCAAATGGAAAGAAAAGCAAGAAGCAACTGCGAAGGAGAAAATGAGGTCCAGAGCGAGGGCGATGTGGCTCTCACGCCAGGAGGGAGAGCCCTGCTCCGGGGAGCCTGTGTCTTCAGGCCACATCAGGGTGAAGTCTGGCCGGACCCTGGAGAATGACTAGGCGAAGGCAACCACCAGAAGCATCCGCCTGGAAAGCAGGAGCTCCTGGTTCCATGGCGGCCCAGGTAACGTGGCGCGTAGCTGGGCGCAGAAATGATTCCTTTACACGGCAGCATATTCTCATCGTAGCTCAAGGCAGAAATCATACGTCCTAACGAAAAACCCCCATCTTGTTAGCAGCGCATACCTTATACTAGGAAACTTGCAAGGAGACCAGTGTTGAACCACAAAGCGAATACAGGTTTTTGCTTTTGTCTGTAAAAATGTACAGGGTGCCTGCTTGGGGCTGCGGTGTCAGTACCAGGCGGCGCTCGTGGCTGCTTCATACCTCGCCCACCCACACCACTGTGGTCCCTCCCTTTACTCCCGCCACCTCACACCGCGGCGCGTTTTGTCTCGCGTTGATGAGAAACAGTGACTCTCGTGCCGGCGTGAGGAGGTACTGCCCGAACAGCCCGCTGTCCCTCACAATCCTGCGGGGCCCGGCCCAGGCTCGGGCTGGCCCCGCGGGCGCGGGCGGCTCCTTCAAGCCCTTCAGCATGCCCGTCTTCCCCGTGGACAGCTCCAGGAAGAGCAGGTCCGGCTCTGTCTCTAGCGTGGCATAGACGTAGTACTGGTCGCCCTGGGTGAAGGAGGGCTGGAAGGCCACGTCTGAGACGCCCTGGCTCACTTTCAGGTCATAGAGGGTCTGGATCTCCCCCCGCAGCGTGATCTCCTGCACGTGAAGCTGGGGGCTGCTGGAGGCGGCGCTGACTAGGAAGCGCCCATCGGGGGAAGTGTGTGGGGTGCCGGTAACGTGGCCGTTGGGGCCGACCACGGCGTCCGTGACACTGTCAAGCAGCAGCTGCGCGGCGGCTGGAGAGGAGCTGTGCTGTCGGCACTGGATGAAGAAGTAGCCGCCCAGGTGGGTGTGGGCCATGGCCTGCGGCAGGCAGCCGTGGCTCTGCAGCCCGATGGTCTTGAGGAGCATCAGTGTTTCCAGGTCGACTTTGTGGACTGCAGGGTCAGACTTGTTGAAGATGAAGCCGAACCTGGGAGGAGACGCAAACTGAGGTCAGAGGTCAGGAGGACTTTTTGGGTAGGGGATAGGTCATTTGTCTCAAACGATGGCATCCTTTCTCTTTTCCTTTATCATAACCCTTTGGTGACTAACAGCCTATTAATAAGATCTACCATTCTGCAGGAGATGGCTTCATAAGCGATTCATCTATGATCTCAAACCAAATGCAGCTGAGTTACAAAATGTTCCTGGATTTATGCTCTTGTAATATGCACGCATCTTTAGAAATGGTAAAGGAAGAGCATAATTGTGCCTCAGCAGCTTCTGCCTCGGGGGTGCCTTTGATTCAGCTCCCCAGAGGCCTTGTGGCAGCTGGGAAGTGGCGGGCCTGTGGCTGGAGGGAAAGGACAAGAGGTGTCTGCCCTGACTCTGCCTGCTAGGAGGACAAGAGAGGTGAGTCTATATCTGAGGTGCTTTTTGGACTACCGGCTGGGTCAGAACTTGGGGATGCAGATGCAAGAGAACAAGGACAGATGTCCTGTCCATGCTCCCTTACCCTTGGAGACAAACGTGGGTAAGGGTTGAGGGCAGCCTCTTCCCTGGCCACGTTGATGATGCTGGTCGCAGGAAGCCCCTTTGGGCTGGGGCTAAGGACAGCTTTCACCTTTACAGCCAGATGGCCTGGCCCTGCTGGGGTGCCCTGCTAGCTGCAGAGCCTGGGGCAAGCTGCTTGCCTCTTCAAGCCCCTGCTAATATAAAGAGGGTAGTTCCTTCCAAGGGCTGCTGGGAGGATTAAATCCAAGAGGGAGCTTTAGTGGAAGAGGTCAGTAGGTGGAAGCTGCCATATCTGGACTTTGTGAAATTCCTCTTTGGAGGCTGGTTATGAGCTGCAGAAGGGCCTGATTCCAGGCAGGACTTCCCTCTGATTGTGAGAGCCTCTGCCTAAACCCCTCACTTGCAGAGGCCTTTGGGTGCCGTATATACCTACAGGAGCAGAGAAAAATCTCTTCCACGATTTTCTCTTGAATAACAAGCTGTGCCTCAGAGTAGGGAAAATGCCCACTTTACAGCATCTTTAAAGCATCCTTAAAGAGCTAGAGCATGGAAAGAGCAGGAAAGAAAACCCCATGCTTATAAGAAACTGTAATGTAAAAGTCACACGGGCTCTGCAGAGCCTGAGTTTGCATGACTCCTGGCTGAATTCAGCTTCTTTGAGGGCTTTTACCATTTACAACCATTTTAGAGGCTCTGTCCCAGGTATTCTCTGCAGTGAGGTAGGGAGGTCATAAAGTGGTTACTTTCTCCCTTGGCCAAAGATGAATGGGAGAGCCCTATTTTTACAAGTCCAGTTTCAGCTCGCAAAAATGAGTCATTTCTCCCTGGAAAAAGGTGCTTGATGTCAGAGTAAAGGAAGGCATAAACACTGCCACAAGACATTTGGGTCTTGATGACTTTATAAAAGGGCACGCTCAGTCTTCTGGCAGTGGTGCCGTGACAGAAAATGTCAGGGGTTCTCTGAAATGAATAGGGAAGGGGAGTGGCCAGGCTGGGATGAGGCTTGCAGTCGAGGCCATGGCTTGCAGTCGAGGCCATTATTAAGCTGTTCTTTTGGATGGTGGCAAACCAGACACCGAGGAAGCCTTGTTTCCTTGCAGGCCCCTGCATGGCTGCTCTGGGGACTCCTAGAGGAACCACAGGTTGTGGTTAGCAGAGAATGAGGCCAAATGGGGCACTGAAAGGAGACCCAGCTTTGCATTTAGTCTGACTCTGCCAGTTCCTGGCTGTGTGACTTTGGCCAGTGTCTTAACTTCTCTGGGCCTAAATTTCCTCATCTATAAAACAGATTTGAGACCGCCTCTACTAGTTTCTTGCATCTAGCAAGGAGAGGGTACTCAATTAACCACAGCTGTTTCCCTCTTTCCTCTGCTGTCCTCACCCAAGTGTGAGACTTCCTGACCTCACTGGGCCCCTGAGGGCATTAGGAGCTGGGTGCCTTCCTTAACTTTAACAATTAAGGACTGGGGATGGGGCCATTTCTCTGTCCATTCCTGATGGGTTCCAAAGCCAGCCCAGGAGGAGTGGGGGAGAAAGAGAAAGGAGCAGGGCCACCCCGGGCGAAGCTGCCCTGTGCAGGGCTGAGCTGGGGCACGGAGTAGGTTAGGGCATTGCGGGCCAGTCTCACCTGACGTGGTTGATGATGAGGTTTGTTGGAGGAATGAAGAAATCGTCCACTCCTGCAAAGGGCGTGCGGATGAGGTGCTGACCCTGACCGGTGCTGGCCTCTGTGATCACCTGCAACACAGAGCGGAAGTCCTTGTGAGGGCCCATCCCAGCGGGGCTTGGAAACCTGCAGACACATGCACGCTCGGGTGGAGACCCCGGCAGACAGGCTGCTTGAGAGAGAGATGATGGGCAAGTCACCGTCTTGGGTGGGGGGCGGGCCAGGAGCAGAGCGGGAGCTGCTTGGGAATGGCGTAGGCAGGGACCCATCCTTCCAGGGAGGGGAAGTGGGGAGACAGGAGTGAATGCCTGAATCGCTCCCTCCTGCTCGGTCAGGCCTGCCCCTGACTGACTGTGGTGCATGTTGTCAGCCACCATGATGTGACAGCAGAGTGAGGATCTGGAGGGGCTGTGTTGGGGCTTCTGAGGGAGGGTCCTCGGAACCTAAGCCTCTCTGCTCAGAGACAGCCTCCTCCACGACAGGGAGTCCCACCTTCTCAACACCTAGGCCACCCTGGGAAAGGCGGCGAGGTTTTAAATAATGAAAATGCTAAACGCTGGAATTGTTGACTGGCTCTGTATTTTCCCTTGATGCCAGGCACCTGGGCTGGTTTGCTGAGAGTCTCTGTCATATGCGCCTCACAGAGGCGCTCTCTGAGAACTGACTCCATAATTTATTAGAGAAAGCAGGCATCCGGTCAGAGGTGCTGGCCGTGTCATTTATTTTATTTTTTATTTATATTTATTTATTTACTTATTTCTTTAAACATCCTTATTGGAGTATAATTGCTTTACAATGTTGTGTTACTTTCTGCCGTACAACAAAGTGAATCAGCTATATGCATACGTATATCCCCATATCCCCTCCGTCTTGCGTCTCCCTCCTACCCTCCCTATCCCACCCCTCTAGGTGGTCACAAAGCACCAAGCTGATCTCCCTGTGCTACGTGACTGCTTCCCACTAGCTATCTATTTTACGTTTGGTAGTGCATATATGTCCATGCCACTCTCTCACTTTGTCCCAGCTTACCCTTCCCCCTCCCCGTGTCCTCAAGTCCATTCTCTACGTCTGCGTCTCTATTCCTGTCCTGACCCTAGGTTCTTCAGAACCATTTTTTTTTTATTTTTAGATTCCATATATATGTGTTAGCATACGGTATTTGTTTTTCTCTTTCTGACTTACTTCACTCTGTACGACAGACTCTAGGTCCATCCACCTCACTGCAAATAACTCAATTTCGTTTCTTTTTATGGCTGAGTAATATTCCATTGTATATATGTGCCACATCTTCTTTATCCATTCATCTGTCGATCGACACTTAGGTTGCTTCCATGTCCTGGCTATTGTAAATAGAGCTGCAATGAACACTGTGGTACGTGACTCTTTTTGAATTATGGTTTTCTCAGGGTATATGCCCAGTAGTGGGATTGCTGGGTCATATGGTAGTTCTATTTTTAGTTTGTTAAGGAACCTCCATACTGTTCTCCACAGTGGCTGTATCAATTTACATTCCCACCAACAGTGCAAGAGGGTTCCCTTTTCTCCACACCCTCTCCAGCATTTATTGTTTGTAGATTTTTTAATGATGGCCATTCTGACTGGTGTGAGGTGATACCTCATTGTGGTTTTGATTGGCATTTCTCTAATGATTAGTGATGTTGAGCATTCTTTCATGTGTTTGTTGGCAGTCTGTATATCTTCTTTGGAGAAATGTCTGTTTAGGTCTTCTGCCCATTTTTGGATTGGGTTGTTTGTTTTTTTTGTCATTGAGCTGCATGAGCTGCTTGTAAATTTTGGAGATTAATCCTTTGTCAGTTGCTTCATTTGCAAATATTTTCTCCCATTCTGAGGGTTGTCTTTTCATCTTGTTTATGGTTTCCTTTGTTGTGCAAAAGATTTTCAGTTTCATTAGGTCCCATTTGTTTATTTTTGTTTTTCTTTCCATTTCTCTAGGAGGTGGGTCATAAAGGATATTGCTGTCATTTATGTCATAGAGTGTTCTGCCTATGTTTTCCTCTAAGAGTTTGATAGTGTCTTGGCCATTTCATTTAAATGCCTGTGATTAGGATGCTGGGGAGGGTTCCAGTTTCACAAAGGCGACTTGCTGTGAGAAGTGAAGAATTAGTCCCTGTGTTTTGTACAAATTGGTAGTTTGACAGAGCATGCTGCCTCTGTTCCCCTGGAGGTACCACTTTCTCCCCTGCGTGCTTGGCAGGAAGCGACTTGAGCCATTCCTTGGTGTGTGTCCCTGCTGTGTCTGTATCAGGGAAGGGCACGGTGGCAGCACAGAACAGAGCCAAGTGATGTTTGGGGTTAGACAGGACGAGAGCATGGTTTGGAGGCCCTGCCAGAAAGCACCCCCGTGGTCAGGCTGGGCTTTTATCCATCAGCTACTGAGGCCTTGGGCACAGGCAGGCTGGAGACACTGAGCCAGCCATCCTGTGTCCTCTTGCTTTCTGCATGTGCTCTTCAGCCTCCAAGTTCCAGGTGATTGTCCAGAAGGGTGGCAGACCTGCAGCCAGATGAGGGGCTTGGCCAGCTTCTGGGCAGTTTTGGCTGGAGGACCCCAAGGACAAGCCCAGACCCTCTCAGCAGGACAGGAGGCAGATGCCAGACCCTGACCAGGGAGGGGAGACACTTCCTGATGTTCATGTTGTGGCCATTTATACAGAAGGAAGGATTCAGATTTTTGCAGCCTGAGGCTGAGGACAGTTTGTGATGGGGCTTTGTGACTCACATGGCCTCGAGCTCTGGATGCTTTTGCCTTTTAAGAGTGGGACTGCCTTCTGCCTCTTACTTTAATGACAAGACAAACAGCACCTGCACTGCTTCTCGGGCAGGTTTGAGGCTTTAGTTTTTTGGATCATGCTTCCCTTGAGGGGTCAGCAGGCAGAATGCAGGATTAGAATGATGAGAGCTGTGATTTTCAGTCTTGGGGCAGCTCTAAAGTTAGGTTATTTTCCTGTGATTTAAAAACAAAAATCCAAATGACACTTCCATGGCAAGTCCATGGGAAAAGCTTAGAACTAGGCATTAAGAAAATATCAATATTAGGAAACTGGATCTTAGAGAGTCCAGGTGAAAATGCCAGAGAATTCCAAGAAGCCATGCAATCATTGCTTGATATAAGGTCTGTCATTTTAGCTTATAATAGAGATGGAAAATTATAGGCTGTCAGCAGTCAGTGTCATTCATGCATCACCACCCTGACACCCTATATTCAGAGGTTACTTCATCAAAACCCGGTGTCATGGGCCACCGAACTGATATGGGCTAGTCAGCCTCATTTCTCCAATGAGTCATGAATTCCTTCTTGGCCTGTGTCCCAGCGCATGGCTGGGCACATTTGTGACCAAAAGATAATTGTTGAGCCTCTCAAATTTCCTGGCTCTAGGGGCTTGGTTCAGGAGATGCACATAGTTGGCTGGGTATCAGGAGATGTAAGTTAGTAGTGAGTGTGGGGTAGGGAAGTCTGAGCATCTGCTTCCGAGGAGTGGACAAAACCAGATGAGAGGTGACAGCTGGGGAAGGGCAGGGTGCAAGATATCAAGTGGGATGGGGAGAGAGGCAGCTGAAAGCTGGGAGTGGGTGGGCGAGAGCATGATGGGCAGGACTCGAGACGGTGCCAAAGGTTCTAACACTGGCTCCTGGGGCAGGGCCTTGGTGGAATAAGCCTCATTTATAGAACCACCTTCATTTAGTCATAGCAAAGCTTGTTTAACCAATTCCTTAGTGTTGGATATTTAGAAACATTAAGATGGTATTTTCAATGTTTTGCAAATATAAACATTGCAGTAACACACAATGTTGTAGATAAATCTTTGTGCCCATCCCTGATTGTCACCTTTGGATAAGTTCTGAGAGGTCAAGTTGCTGGATTGAAAGCAATGTTCTGAGGCTTTTGGTTCACATTTCCAAATTGCTCACCATAAAGGCTCTGCCCACTGACATTTCCAGGAGCAGTTTCTGCAAGCAGTGGTTTCCTGAACCCTAGTCCACAGAGATGAAGGTAGGTTTATTCAATTTATTTCATTTTTTTTGTCATAGTGCATTTCTAAGACTTTCCAATTATGGTGATGGTGGGCATAATGGTCTAATTCCTGCTATTAATTAAAATGCTTTTAGTGTTTTGTCATTTAGGCAAAATTTCCTCTTGGTTTCTTGGAAATAGTCTTCATTATGTTTATGTCTTCTATTCCTATTTTTAGTTTTTTTAAAAAAATTAAGAATGTCTGCTGTATTTAGTTAAATGCCTTTCCAGCATTTACTGAAAATATTATAGCTTTTTTTCTGTTTTGTGTTATGAGTAATGTTGACTGATTTCCTGAGAGTGAACCATTACTACATCCCAGGAATTTGTTCCCTGCTCGAGCAGTTAGATGCATTGTTGGTCTCTATTTTTAATACCATGTTTAGAACTTTGCTTCTGTATTCATAAGTGAGATTAGTTGATAGTTTTATTTTTTAATTTTTTTTGAATTTTATTTTATTCATGTTTTTATACAGCAGGTTCTTATTAGTTATCTATTTTATACATATTAGTGTATACATTGTCAATCCCAATCTCCCAATTCATCCCACACCCCCACACCCCCCAGCAGCTTTCCCCCCTTGGTGTCCATACGTTTGTTCTCTACATCTGTGTCTCTGTTTCTGCCCTGCAAACCGGTTCATCTGTACCATTTTTCTAGGTTCCACATATATGCGTTAATATACGATATTTGTTTTTCTCTTTCTGACTTACTTCACTCTGTATGACAGTCTCTAGATCCAACCACGTCTCTACAAATGACCCAATTTCGTTCCTTTTTATGGCTGAGTAATATTCCGTTGTATATATGTACCACATCTTCTTTATCCACTTGTCTGTTGATGGGCATTTAGGTTGTTTCCATGACCTGGCTACTGTAAATAGTGCTGCAATGAACATTGGGATGCATGTGTCTTTTTGAATTATGGTTTTCTCTGGGTATATGCCCAGTAGTGGGATTGCTGGGTCATATGGTAATTCTATTTTTAGTTTTTTAAGGAATCTCCATACTGTTCTCCATAGTGGCTGTATCAATTTACATCCCCACCAACAGAGCAAGACGGTTCCCTTTTCTCCACACCCTCGCCAGCATCTGTTGTTTGTAGATTTTCTGATGATGCCCATTCTAACTGGTGATAGTTTTATTTTTTAATACTAAGGAGTTGCACATTTTTTTCCATATGGTCTGGGATAGTTCAAATGATATTAAAATGATCTACATTTGAAAGGTTTGATAAAACTTGGCTGTACATTTTTCTATGGGAGATCTTTGATCTTTAAAAAACCTCTTCTCTGGTAATTGTTCTATTTCAAGTTTTCCTTTTCTTAGGTCAGTTTTTTTTCCTCCTTAATTTTTTTTTTATTGAAGTATAGTTGTTTTACAATGTTGTGTTAATTTCTGCTGTACAGCAAAGTGACTCAGTTATACATATATATTTTTAAATTTATATAAATATTACAAAACTATTATATCTTTTCCATTATGGTTCATCCCAGGACATTGAATATACTTCCCTGTGCTATACAGTGGGACCTTGCTGTCCATCCATTCTATATGTAATAGTTTGCATCTGCTCACCCCAAACTCCCAGTCCATCCCTCCCCCACACCCTTCCCCCTTGGCAACCACAAGTCTGTTCTCTATGTCTGTGAGTCTGTTTCTGCTTGGTAGATAGATTCATTTGTGTCATATTTTAGATTTCATATATAAGTGATATCATATGGTACTTGACTTTCTCTTTCTGACTAGGTCAGTTTGTTATTTTTCCTGCATTTTGCAAACAATCATCCATTTCTTCTAGGTCTTAAAATCTGCTGCCCCAGAGTTGCAGTGTAGTATTATTTTACAATTATTTTCATCCTCCTTTATCTGCAGTAATATGTCTTTTCTCATTTCTCATTTTGTTTATATTCTTTTTTATCAGGTTTGTGAAGGATTTATTGGTTTTTGTTTGTCCTTTTTTTATTTCTACTAATTTTAGTCTTTTAAATAATTCCTTCCTGCCAGTTACTTTGTTCTTTTTCTTAATACAAATACTCTCTGCAGGCTTTTAAGACACAGATATTCCTTGTGTACAGCTTTCTCTGTATCCTGTAGGTTTTGATGAGAAGTAGTCTCTTTTTCATTGCTTTTGAGACAGTTTGTAATTTCTCCTTTTAATTTCCTCTTTGATGCAGTAGTGATCTAGGAGTGTTTCCTTATTAGGTAGGTCACATTTTAATTGTTTCTAATTATCAGATAATGTAGCCTATAACACTGACTTTTACAAAATTTGCTAAATTTTTATTTGTGTTTACTGACACATATGTGGACATGTGAAAAATTTCTATTTGGCAGAGGAAAGGTTTTCTATATAGTTATTAAACCAAGTTCCTTATTCATATTATTCATTTTTCCCATATCATTATTTTGTCTCTTTGGAATGTACAATTTAAGTGCATTGTAAGTCAAGTTCTTGTATTTTGAATCACTCTTGTATTATGTATTTAGTTATGTTGTTTGCTACCTGTTGGCCGTTTGTCTTCACATAACGCTTTTCCTTTTGCTGTTTAGTGCTTTTAACCTTAAATTTGACCTTGTCTGATATTCCACTCATACATCTTTTTGTCCACCTACCATCACTACTATTTTCACCCCTTTCAATTCAACCTTTTATTATCACTGTATGGGTTTCCTGTAAACAAGTTACAGCTAGTTTTCTCTCTCTCCCTTCCAAACCCAATCTCATCATCTCTGCTTTTAATAGGAGAAACCAGTTTGTCACATTTGGAATAATTAGACAGTTAACTATCTCAACTATTAATTTCAAAGAACATTCTCTATATCCGCTCTTATCCCTGTAAGATGACATTTTTGAGTATTTTTACTCTCCTCCACTCCCTACCCTTACTTTTACAGAAATAACTTATCATCTTTACTTAGAGCCTGGTATCAGAATTTCTCTTTCAGTCCATTTCTCCTAATTCAAATGCCCTTATTTAGCACTTATTAATACATTTCCAGGTAGTCTCTCCTCATCCATCTTATTTTATTTTTGGACCTTCCTCTCTAGGTTCCTTACTTAGGCCTGTTTCCTCTTTATCTTTCACCATCTCGATGTCTCTGATCTGGTTCACCTACTGTTCTGGTATCTTTCATGATCTGCTCTCTGAATTCTTGAATATCCTTAGGTCTTTCTTTTGTCCTGACAGGTAAATGATACCTTGGATATCAGCCCTTTTATCTTAATAGCATGTAGATATGATGCCACGGTCTTCCAGCAGCTGTTGCAGGTGAGAAGTCCAGTGCCAACCTAATTGTTCTTTTACAGGTGACTTTTCTTTCTGCCTTGAAGCTTGTAATATTTTTCCTTTATTCTTGGAAGTCCAGAGTTTTACCAAGAGCAGAGATGTGTTATTTCTCATCAAGTTAGCCTAGAACTTACAGATCCCTTTTAATCTACATAATTTACTTTTTCAACTTGGAAATTTTCTTCCAAATTTATTTAATGTTTGACTCCATTCCAACTATTACCTTTTCTCTTTCTAAACTTCTTTTGACTTTGAAACATCTTTTGAGACTTCATATCTCAATCTTGTATTCTGTGATTTGAGGATTTTTCTTTATCTTTCAGGCTACTGTTTTGAGTCTCAGTAGAAACCATGCATTTTCAACTCATCTATCTACTGCAGTTTTAAATTAGGAAATCATTTTTTGTTAAATTTTACTTTTAGAAAAATATTTTTTGGTGGCCCCTCCCCTTGAATTTCTTTACATGCTTTCTTAGAGCTGCCAGAGGAACCAGTTTTCTGGGCTTATACTCTGTTCTAAGTGACCTTTATTCTGGCTCCCAGGTCCTCTAATGAATTGTTATTATTTGTCATCAGCTCACTGGGGCCCAGGATGTGTTGATGGTGTTCACTGAGGGACAATAGTCTTGTTTTGTAGGAGGTGAAGTAATGTCCTTCCCCTGGCCCAGCAGCACAGAGGTAGGTAAGGCAGGTGGCCAGTCCCCAGGAGGAAGCTTCTGTAGACTGGGTACCCCTGGCCTCTTACCAGTCTTGGGAACAGTGTGAACTTGGCTCCATCCGCAGCCCTTCTCAGCTGGGGTTCTGAGAGAGAAAAAAACCCTAATCTCCCGAGGAATCCACTGTATGCGGTGAATTCTCTTCTGTGCATCTAGAATGGTTCTATGCACCATCATTGGGAGAATCGAGGGACCAGGCATTCAAATCACCTTTTGTAGGGCTTAATCCTCTCACGTACCCCTGATGAGAAAGGCTGAGCCGGACACACTCAACATAGGGTTGGTGATGACCTTCCCCGACTGGTGGAGGAAGGGATCCCACAGATGTCCTGGTCCCAAGCTCTTCCCAAGAGGCAGTACGATGCAGTGGCTGAATGTATGAGCTGCAGGGCTGAATGCAGGCCTAGGTTGGACCAGGGGCCAGTTATTGAAACTTCCTGTGCCTGGAACACTGTGAGCACTCAGTAATGTGCTTCCATTTGTGAACATAATTGCTGCTGCTGCTTTTCCTTCTCCTTCCTTATCATCTGGTACCTGCTTTGACAGTGTTCTCCAGCCCATGCAGCCCAAGGTAAAGAAAGCCCTGGCTCCCTTCTCACTGCTTGAAGTCCAGAGGTTCATTTCTGCTTGGCCCCAGGAGCCCCTAGCTCAGAAGAGGCAAGTGTTTTGGGGCTGGGCTGGGTGGGGCCCAAGAGATACATTCTGGTTGTCAGGACATTAGAATCTTATCCATCATCAGTGTTACTGTCTTTAATAGCAGGCCTGGCGGAAGATACCATTCATTGCCTATAAGGGGCATTATCCTGAGGATGTTTCCTACTCTCTCCTTAGCCTTCATGGACATACTTTGGATAAATGTGATTAGCCACCTAGGGAAGCAGGAGACATTTATTAGCTAGGGAGAGAGCCCTTTCCTGCAGGTGGGTGTTGTCTTCCATGTACTCAACATACCTGGAGGCTTGGTTGGGACTTATGCACGTTCCCCCAGCTCAGGACCCACACTTGGTCATGTGATTTGTCATAGGACAACTTAGCCGGCAGAGGGTCGACACCTATGGACTTGAAAAAAAATAGCGACAAGTTGGTCATTGTTGTAGAAGCTGATTCATTTCTAGGCCACTCTTGGGTGAGTGGAAAGCCAGCCTAGCAGCCTTGACAATGAGCCAATTTGGGAACCCAGGGTAGAAACATCCCTTCTGGTTTGTCTTCAGAGGCATAAAATTGGTTGTCAGTAATGTTCTTCCTTTTAAAAATTTCTTGCAGGGACTTCCCTGGTGGCACAGTGGTTAAGAATCTGCCTGCCAGTGCAGGGGACATGGGTTCGAGCCCTGGTCCGGGAAGATCCCACATGCTGTATAGCAGCTAAGCCCATGTGCCACAACTACTGAGCCCACGCGCCTAGAGCCCATGCTCCGCAACAAGAGAAGCCACTGCAATGAGAAGCCTGCAAGGAAGAGTAGGCTCTGCTCGCCGCAACTAGAGAAAGCCTGCGTGCAGCAACGAAGACCCAACACAGCCAAAAAGTAAATAAAAAATTTATTTAAAAAAAAATTCTTGGGCTTCCCTGGTGGCACAGTGGTTGAGAGTCCACCTGCCGATGCAGGGGACGCGGGTTCGTGCCCTGGTCTGGAAGGATCCCACGTGCCACAGAGTGGCTGGGCCTGTGAGCCATGGCTGCTGGGCCTGTGGGTCCGGAGCCTGTGCTCCGCAGCGGGAGAGGCCGCAGCAGTGAGAGGCCCACGTACCGCAAAAAAAAAAAAAAAAATTCTTGCATGTCTTACTTAAAGGGTACCCAGACCATCTTGGCAAAAGCCTAAACACAGAGTTTTGTCTTCTTTTTTTCAGTTTTCCACTCAGAATCAGCTTCAGGACCCTCCCATCACTTCTCCTGTAAGCCTTTGGGGCCTCTTGAACCCTCAGCATCCTTCTCTAGCTCTTCTTCCTGGGTCATCTGAGACTGACTTTGAACTCATCCATTATCACCTGTCTGTCTCTTAACTTCGTGCAGACTCTACCTGGTACATCATTCACCTGGAGCCTCTGGGACTCAGACTGTAGCATCAGGCAGAGTCTTTTTCTACTGCTGTAACTGAAACTCTGCTCTTTTCTGAGGACAGAGCTTCCCCAGTGGCCCTGTCAAATGGTGACTTTTCTACTTCTCAGAATGTAGTTTTAGAAGTTCTAAAACTCTGTTTTGATAAGAAGTTCCAAAACTCTGTTTTGTTATGCCACTATGACCCCTGCTCTTTTTGGCATTGGCCAAAGTTCTAGTCACTCCCTTTGTTCACTAAAGATGCTCTGTTTTCTCTGTCACTCCCTGAGTCCCCAACTTTGGTGCCTTCATTCAAAGCCCTGCTTTCTCAGTTCCTTCTTGGTTTCAGTGATCTTTACCTCTTCCCCACTGCAGCCACCATAACTTAAACCTTGTCAACAAATTTCTGAAATTTCAGTCCACCATATTCTAGCCTTTCTGATCTTGGGGGAAAACCATCTTTGCTCCCACTGGTTAAAACTTCTCTAAAGAAATGTCTATGGAGTCCCTGAAACCACTTCCTCTTAACTGTTTGTCTTCACCACTCCACTGAACTGCTCTAGAGCTTCATGTCAAATTCAGAGATCACTGTGTGATCCTCCTATAACTTGACATCTCACCAAGATTCCACATGGTTAACCATTCCCTTCTGGAAACATTTTCTTCACTCAGCTTCCCATCTCCCTGGCTTCTCTTCCTCATCCTGACTTCTAAATGGTGGCACGTCCCCCGTCTTCATCTTTGACCTTGTCTCTGTCTATATCCTTTCCCTGGGTGAGCTCATTCAATACATGGCTTCAAATAACCCATTATACTCTGATGACTGACTTTAGAATTCATTCCTCTGTCGATGACCACAACTTTAAACAAATCTGAACTCTTGATTTTGCCTATCCCTGCTGAAATATATTTCTTCTCCAGTCATCAGCATCTTTGAAGTCTCCTTATACTTTCTTGCTCTAATTAAAACTTCCTCTGCCCTGAAGCCTCAAGTAGAGGCTGTTTCTATGTTCCTACACTTCACATACCCCAGGTCCTTTGTTCATGCCTCCAGCTACTCTTCCTTGAGCCTCTCATCCTGGCTGCTTCCCTTCATTTACCAAAGGCTTTATGATCTGGCACTGTCTTCCTCTACCCAGAGCTTCTTTTCTCACCAGTAATGATACCATCCTGACACTATCTCTAGTTTCTTATATTTTCTCTCTCACTCTTTTAAAAACCCTCTTGATTACACATTTCTCCTCCAGGTATCCCATTTGTCTGCCCTCTTCACAAACTTCCCCAAAGTTTAGACTGCAGGCATTATCTCTCCTTTCTGCTTAACTTTCTCTAATCATTTTTCATATTCTCATTCTGAGTGAGGTGGTACGGAGTAGGAGACTGAAAACCTGAACCAAAAATCTCTTACATTCAGAACAGAGCTTTCCACAGTCTCAATATGCTAAGGAGACATGGAAGGGAAAAGGTCCTGAAGAACACAGAAGGCTCTCAGTTTAAAGACCTGAAGGGCTACCTACTAGGAGTGAATCGGAGACTGACTAAGCCTTATGAAAGCTGCAACTCAGCCTTGATTCAACTTAGTACTTGATTAAAGTGATTCATTCTATACTCTCTCTCTTCCTAGCAGAGAAAAGGGTAAACCCTCTTCAGTGGATGACAGCCATTTAAAGTCTCTACAGTGTAATACGGAATTACTAGGCATTCCAAGATACAGCTTATATAACTGAAAGCAACATAAAAAAGACAATAGAAACAGACTCACAGGTGATCCATAAAAAAATAATTTAAAAATTGTGTATATAAAAGGAATTAAGCAGAAATTCTAAAAGTGAAAAAATGCAACACCTGAAATTAAGATCTCAATAAATAGGTTTTGTTATATATACCTTAGACACAGTGGAATACAGGATTATTGAACTGAAAGACAAGTTGATAGCATATGCCCAAACCGAACCACAAGAGATAAAAAGCATGGAAAATAAGCGTGAAAGAGATGTGTGGGACACAATGGAAAGGTCTAACTTTTTTTCTCTGAGAGTTCCCAAGGAAGAGGTGAGAGAGAATGAGGCAGCAGAATATTTGAAGAAATAATGGTTGAGAATTTTCCAGTCTGATTAAAGATATTAATCTACACATTTAAGAACCTCTGAAAACCCCAAATCAGAATAAATACAAAGAACACCATACCTGGGCATGTAAAACTGCTAAAGACCAAAGAGAAAATCTAGAAAGTAGCCAGAGAGAAAAAAGAGAGACATTATCTTCAAAAGAGAGACAGTAAGACTGACAGTTGACCTATTAACAAAAACAATGGAAGATAATGAAACGGCATCTTAAAATGCAGAAAGAATTTAACTGCCAATGTAGCACTCTATATCCAGTGCAAATATCCTTTACAAATAAAGGGCAAATTTTCAAACAAACGAAAACTACGAGAATCTGTTGCCAGCAGACCTGCACTAAAAGAACTATTAAAGAAACTTGTTCAGTCACAATGAAAATGATCCCAGACAGAACTATGTATTTCAGGAAAGAATAAAGAGCAATGGAAAAGGTAAATATGTGGGTGAATGTAAATGACTATCAGCTGTACAAAATAATAATAATAGTCATGTCTTGTGGGGTTAAATTACATGTAGAATTAAAATTCATTCCCACAATAGTGCCAAAGGCAGGAGGAAGGTTAAAGGAGTCAAAGTGTTCTAAGGTTCTATCATTATTGGGCAAGTGAAGCAATAATTTGTATGAGACTGTATTGAGGCAAGGATGCATGTTGTAATCTCTATGGTGGTAATAATAACAACAATGATAAAAGAATGCATGGACAACAAGCTAACAGAGGGAGAAATAGAACAAAAATGTTTGACTAATCCAAAAGAAAGCTAAAAGAAGAAAAAAGCAACATAAAGAGGTAGGTCAAATGAAAAAACAGTAAGATGATAGACATAACCATATAATTACACCAAAAATACATGGATCAAATAATCCAAGTAAAAGATCAAGATTATTAAACTAGATAAAAGCCAAAATCCAAATACATGTGGCTTTATAAGAGATCACTTTTTAAATATATGAGATACAAAGATTGAAAGTGAAAGAATGGAAAAATTATACCATGGTAACACTAATCAAGATAAATCTGATTTAGCTATATTAATATTAGACAGAATGGACTTTCAGGCAAGAAGCTTTGCCAGAGATAAAGAGGGATATTTTGTAAGAAGAAAGAAGTCTTCCGCCCCCGGAAGATACTATAATTTTAAAGCAAAAATGGATGGAACTTGATACATCTACAATCACAGTGGGAGACTTCAACATACCTCTCAGCAGGTGGTAGACTAAGTAGACAAAAAAATCACTTAGACTATCTGAACAATACAATAAACCAACTTGACATAATTGACATATATGTAAAATCTACCTAAAACATTAGAATACACATTCTTTTAAAGTGCACATAGAACATTTATGAAAGTTGATAAGCTGAGTTATAAAGCCAGCTTCAATAAGGATTGAAATTATTCAGAGTATTTTCTCTGGCCAGGGAAATCAATAACAAAAAGATAGCTGGAAAGTCTCCTATCATGTTTTTCAGGAGAAACCACAACCACAACCCTGGTTTTTATACAACTTTCTCCCAACAATGATCCTGCACCCGGGCAGCTGAGCATTCCTGGGAAAAAAAGATACAACCCTCCTCACTGGTCTGACTTTACATTTGCACCCCTCATCCTTAAGTGGGCCTTCACTATTGCCCTGCAGTCCTATCTCATTTCCCTGGTCAGTTCAATCTCACATCCAACTTTTACCTCTTTCCTTAGACCTCCAGCCTTGGTGACAATTTTCCTTCTTATTTCACTGAGGAAATAAAGGCAACCAGAAGAGAAGGTCATCCAGCTATCACCAATTGTATCACCTATTTGCACCTGTGCCCGAA